TCCTTGCCCCTTTAAGGATTGATGAAAGGAAAAAAATGAAACCTCTGTCTACTGTCAGAAGGGCAAGAGCTATACTGTTCTAATCTTGTGCAGGACAAAAGAGGGAAATGTTGAGTCAGCATGTCAGTTCCATCGTATTTAATGGGAGTCCTCAACATGCTGGGTGCTGCCCTCAAACAGGAAGAACAGCTGATGCTGTTTTCAATTCACTGACCTCTCAAATCTGGACCCCTCTGAGTTTGGTGCATTCTTTGAAATTCACCAGGAGGAAGTACCACAAAGTCTCAGCCAGAGGCCATTACTATGATTACTATATAGTTTCTGGGCACAATAGTGGTACATTATATGAAAAATAATATGGTAGTTATTACTATTTTATTATGATAGCAACCATAATAATGTTACTTTTGTCATTTGCCTTTTTTATCATTCTGGGCTAAGATAGAATGTAAATTTGGGTTAAAAAAAATCTTTCATCTCTGGGCTGGGGCTGTAGCTCAGTGGCAGAGCACTTGCATGAAGGCGCTGGGTTTGATCCTTAGCACCACATTTTAAAAAAATGAAACAAGTAAAATAAAGGCATGTCGTCCATCTACAACTATACAACTACAAAAAAAAATCTTTTTGTCTCACGTCAGTATGATGGAAAGACTTTCTCGGTCCATCTCCAGGGTTTCAATACCTCTTATGCTCCCTTCACTGGGAAGAAGTGGTTTGAAGGGCTGTTAGGAAGGTGATATAGTAGATTGAAAACCACAACACACATGATTCTTGGTTGGCATTCTAAAGAGCTGTAGCCATTTTGGTATGCCAGTTTCAGAGGCTAAGAATCATCTAGGTATGTAACATAGAAGTAATAGAAGGGTAAAATGTTTCCCCTAAAAAGAAATACCAGTGAACTCTCTTTAATTTTGTTATCTAGCTCTGTTAGCCAGTGAATAAAGAGATTATAGTCTCCATGCCCCCACAGGAAAAAAAAATGAGGTTTAGAGAGTTTCAGTGATTTTCTGAGCATCACAGACTTAATTGTTTATGGAAGAATTAAGATCAAAACACAAGATTCTAAGTCCTGACTCATAGTCCCTCATTATCCCACTTCACCCTAATGGACATGCTACTGGCTTGCTGTTAAGTAGAAGGGGCCAGTTATTCCCAAATGGCACTTTTTCTCATCTCACAGTGATTCTCTCCTTTAGATCTTGCCTTACAGGTAGGATGACACTATAAGAGATCCTCTGTTATCTTTTTAGTAAAACAAACAAAATCCAGGGCAAGGAATGATAGGGGCTAAGACTGACCTGATATGAGTTTCAACCTGGAATGAATGTGGTTAAAACCAACTAATGCTTTTGTGTTTAGTGCTTCATATTGTACTGGGCACTATGCTCAGACATGGGCACCAAAGTTGAAAGTATTTGCTCTTCTCTTCATACATGAATAGTTTAGAAGAGAAGAAGACACATATGCAGTGTCAATATCTCATGCTAAGTGAAATGGTTAAGGTTAACACAAGTGCTATGGGAGCATGAAGGAGGACACCCAAGCTAGTCCATAAGTAGGGATGTAGTTTAGAAGTTTTCTTGGAGTAAAAACAATGAATATTAATGACAGACCCATTGAAAGCACTCAATGGAGGTTAGCTATTATTACTATGATAATAGCCAATATCCCTGCTCTCAAAGAACTCACAGTCTACCACAGGGGAAAGTACTAATACATAACCATATTCATATGTAATTCAAGCTATTATGGTCTGTTGGAGCAGACAGACATGTATAATAGTTCACATTCAATGAAGATAACCTATATGCCAAGAATGAGTCTAAGGAGATGGATAGACATCCTCAATTATATATGAGGAAACTGAGGCACAGAGAGGTAAAGTAACTGGTCTATAGCCACACCACTAATGGATGGAGTTAAGTAGCCACAAATTAAAAAGGAGAAGTGTCCCTGACATCTGAAGGATGACCTGACTCTCACAGGTAAGCCATACTGTTCTCCTGTTGGACATAAACAGTCTCACAAAATACCAACGTCAGACAAAGTCATCCTGAGAATATGATAAAGTGAAACAAAACAAGGCTATTTCATTATTTGTCGAAGCACAGACAAAACAAAATCACTATGCTACCCACAAAATCCTTATACCCACTTTAGTCTGACATCTCTATAGATTCAATATATTAAGATGCCCAATTGTAGAATTGCCCTTGCTTTCTGACAGCAGTCAATATAAAGCAAACCCCATTTCCTCAGACACTTCCTCAAATTACCCAACCAAAACCCAAATCCTATAATAAATCCTTCTTACCACCCTTTTACTGAGATCCCCCATGCTAACCTATTATATTAGTTTGCTTGGGCTGCCATAGCAATATACCATAGATTGGGTAACTAAACGACAGAAGTTTATTTTCTCACAATTTTGGAGATTAAACATCCAAGACCAAGGTGTTTGAGGGTTTGACTTCTCCTTAGGAATCTCTCTCTCCTTGGCTTGCAAGCGATGGCCTTCTAGCTGTTTTGCATGGTCCTTTTTTTCATAGTGTGAGCTTCTGCTATCTCTGTGTATCCAAATTCCTCTTCTTAAGGACACTAGTGGGGTTGGATTGGGGTCTACTATAACAGCCTTATTTAACTTTAATCCCTTCTTTAAAAGCTTTGTCTCCAAATACAGTCACATCCTGAGATACTAGGGGTTAGAGTTTCAACATATGTGTAGGGGTGGGGGTCACAATTCAGTCATAGGTGGATCTGTGGTGTGTGTTCTCCTTCACTGTAACTAGTAACAAACCCAAATTGTTCATCTACAGCTATGTGTTTCTAGTGGCTGGAGGGCTTTGACACAAATTATGACTGATAACTGATACAATTTAAATAACTTTGAAAAGGAAGACTAACACATTGTGGTTAATACAGGTGAAAACAGCACTGCTTTCTAACAGTAGGAAAAGAGAAATTATTCTGATTACTGAAAACCAGCCAATAGGGAGTGGCATTTTACATATTTTATCTTTTTTGTTTATTTTTGCATTTGAATGCAGAGGCTAAAATTTATTTTTCTTCTTGCCTGATGCCTAAAAAGAAGCAAATGTATTTGCACAGTGTCTGTCAGATGCAAGATAAATAAGACACCATTCCTATTCTCAAGATATGTATACCTAACTTCTTTGTGACTCAATTTCCCGCCTGTGAAATGGGGGAGATAAAATTGTGTTGGTAGTGAGGATTAAATAAAATAATTCAATTGGGCGTGGTGGTGCACACCTGTAATCCCAGCAACTTGGGAGCCCAAGAGGCAGGAGGATCGCAAGTTCAAAACCAGCCTCAGCAATTTAGGGAGACCTTAAGGAACTTAGCAAGACCCTGTCTCAATAAAACATAAAAACGGGCTGGTAGTATTGCTCAGTGGTTAAGCACCTCTGGTTCAATACCTGGTACTAAATAATAATAATAATTCATATGTTTCTTAGCACAGTCTCTGGCACATAGAGTGTTGATTATTTGAGAATGTACTATTATTTATGGATGAATTTTGGAGATATAAAAGGAAAGAACAAGAGTGTCCCAAGCAGGTGGAATGGCACAAACAAAAGCAGAGATGAGAAGCTTTAAAAGTGTCCCCTGTGCCCATACACTTTATGGCTCAACAATGAAATACCGGTGAAAGAGGGCCTCAAACTTGATGAAGTAGCCTTGACCTTGTTGGCAGTGGAATATCTGAAACATCTGTCTCCTGTACTTTGCCAGGCCAAGGGAAATAGCCCCCCACCACTTCTGTTTCTGAGGAGGGGTTGTGTGACAGGCTATGTAGGCTTTGTTGAGGGTTATAGAAGTTACTCAAATCCTGTGCTTAGCAGAATGAGGTGGTACCTGTGGAAGCAGAAACGTGACATTGGGCCCTCTCTGGAGAAACCAGGCTTTGGCAATGACTTGCTGGAGCAAGTACACACAAAGTAGCTAGTTTCACCCCTTCTGTTCTAGCACCAACCTTTCATCTCTTGCCCTGGTTCCTAGCAGTGATGACTCTGAAGCTTCAGCTCCAACCTTACACCCGCGGTTTCAGGAGTGCTACTTGCTCGCTCCTGAATCTCACTCCAATCTTTTGCAGTTTTCTGTTGTGTTCCCAGATCGCCAGAAGGGAAATGACCACCTAAGGAATTTTTCAATGACAGCAGTCAGGCAGATCCGATTTCTTTCCTGGTCCCATTCAGTTTCCCTTTTTCTCTGATGTATTCCGAAAAACCCATCCCTTTCCAGTACTCATCCTGGATCCGACCGTTCCAGGAGGACCCATCTTCCTAGTGGTCTAGGCCCTTAAGTTAAGGGTAGGTTGAATGGTTAGATGCTTGGTGGACGAAGCCATTCAGATATTCTTCCTGAAACTTTAGAGCGCCCCTCTCTGCACACACAAATACACAACTGCCCTCAAAGGCGTGGGAGAGTGGTGTCCGGCTGCGTGTCTGCCGGGAGAAGGACGAGTCAGTGGCGCGGTGGACTGGGCGGGCGGCGAGAATGCGAGTGGGGGGCGGGGTGGGGGTGGGGATGGGGGGGTGCGCGCCCTTTATGACAGGTGGCCGCGCAGTGCGCGCTCCCGGGCGCCTAAGGGGAGGAGAGGGAGGGACAGACAGACAGAGTAGGAGGGGGCCCATGGGGAAGGGACTGTAGAGAGGGTAAGGAGACAGCGGGAGGAAAAGGGAGGGCTGTGGTGGGGAAGGAGGGTAGGGGGGAACGCGTCCAGCAAGAACAGCCGTGTTGGAGGAAACAATGGCAGGGGCAATAGCGATGGTGGCAGCCGAGGCAGCCCCACTCTGGGCACCTTTCTGAATGGGCAGAGGCAGCTCTGGGAGAAGAGGGGATCAGGCAGCGCCCGCAGAGGCTCTGAGAAAAGCGGCACAGGGAGGAGAAGGGGGAGGAGGAAGAGGAGGAGGAGGAGGAGGAGGGGGGAGGAGGAGGAGGAGGGGGACGAGGCAGGGGGAGAACCCGAGAAGGAAAACCAGTAGCATCAGCAGCAGCCGCCGCCGCCACCACCACAGCAGTAGCAGTAGCGGCAGTAGCAGCATTTAGTAATAGCTTTAACAGTGATAGCGGCAGTAGCAGCCGCCCTCCTTCTCTCGAGCTCTTGCAGAAGGCAGCAGCCACCGCACAGAGCGGGCTCCTGGTTCCGGGCGCAGCGCTAGCAGCCCGCTAGCGAGGTAGCCCCGGCAGGAGCAAGCGGTGGTGCAGGCGAAGCGCGGACCTTGGGAGCAGCCGGGCAGCAGCTGAGGCTCTGAGTTTCAGAGCCAGAGCCCGACAGCTCTGACTCCATCTAGCACCGCGGCGGCGGTGAAACCTGAGGGAACCAGCGAGCGACGGAGAGAGGCGCGTCCACCTGGCGGGCCCGGCGCATGGAGCTGAGGCAGAGGAGGCGGCGACGGCGGCAGCAGTAGCAGTAGCAGCGGCGGCAGCTCGAACAGCTGCGGCGACGGTGGCAGCCCAGCCTTGACTGTGGCCGCGCCAGCTCCAGCGCCTGCTGCCTGAGCCCGCCAGCGACGTGCGCCTCGGGAGTCGGCCTGTGAGGTGAGTATGAGCGCTGCCAACCAGCCCCCTGGCCTTCTCGCCGGCTCCCCAGCCGGCTCTGGGTGGTGGCGGCAGGGGTGGAACGAATTGGGGGAAGCTGAGCTAGAAGAGGAGGAAGGGAAAACGGAAGGGAGGACGTCTGTGTGCGAATGGCGTGCATGTGTGTATCTGTGTACAAGGCAGAGAGGCCGCGAGGGCCAGAGATCCCGGCTCGCCCTGACAGGCACTGCAATCTAGGAAAGGCCTCTATGCTTGCACCGGGGGGAGGGGAAGCAAGCGGGCCGGAGCCGCCGCGCTCACACGCACACAGCAGGGCAGCAGGAACCAGCAGAGTATTGCCTCCCTTCGGGTTGGTGCCTGGGAGACACTGGTCAGGGGATGGGGCACGGAATGGGGCACCGACACGGCAGGCTTCGGCGCGAGCGGGAAAACCCACGCGGCGGCCGCGGCTGGCGCCCGGGCCAAAGCCGCAAAGGTGCGAAGCCGCGTCGCAGGCGCCTCCCCCGCCCGCGGCTCCGCTGCGCTCCGGGCGGCTGTGGCTATCACAGAGTGCCCCAGGGCATGCGCCACCCATCTAGGGCCACAGGCGGGTACACGTCGGAGACTGGACTGAGCCTCGCCCAGCTTGTCACCTCTGCGGAAATTGGCCCGCGGCCCCTTCCCGCTCTCGGAAGCGGTCGAATTGACGCCTTCCTGCATGGCTTCTGGAGCTTCTCCCTGCCGCGCCCAGAGGCACACGTCCCCAGATCTCATACACCCTGTGGGGCGGGGAGACCGAAGAGCGGGGCCCCACTCTGGGAAAGTGTGGAAACCGCGCCGCTGAGTTGGCGCCGTTCAGCTGAGGAATCCAGTGGTTTCAGCATGACTGCTTCTGTCTGTCTGATTCGTGAGGGACCGAATCACCCGCGCAAGGTTTTCTATCTTTTTCGAAGTTAAAAAAAAAAAAAAAATTGGCATCCCCATTTCGACACCCGCACTCTTGGTTTTGTAGAGATTCTGGTTGCATTTTGGAATAAGTGGGTCTCGTATTTTGCTTCTGGGCTTTGGCTCCCAGCATATTGTTGGATTCTGTGCACAGCAGTATACTTGGCTATGTGGCCTTTTTCTAACATTCCATTTTTTAGACTATTACCTTGAAAAGACATGATTTGTGTGTAGGACTAGCAGGGCTGTTTAAAAAAGCATCTAAAGCTTTTCAGCCCCGGGATTTGAAATTTTCAGTTGTTTTAGGTGGAGAGTACTGACAGTTCCTGGAATATTTTGCTTGGTGAGAGAAGGTGCTCCGATGATCTTCTCAGAACTACTAGAGACAATCCGGGTTTGGGGGAGCGAATCTCCCTTACATATTTTACACATGGGTAACATATGAACAAACGTTTTATTTACAGCAGTGACGTTCTCAAGGCGAGAGAGAATTTACACTTATTGAAAATATATTTTTAGAAGGGAACAAAAAAGCCCTAAGTAACTGTCATTTTACATATTAACCGGGAAACCGGCTAATCAAATAAAACTGGCTGAGTGTCTGAAACTCTATCCCAGTGAAATATGTGGCTGTGAATATAATTAACCATCTGTCTAGTGAGCAATTTAAATTTGGGCTGGTACATTTTTATTACAGTGTCTAATTTCTGGAAGACTTGTACATTTTACCCAGCAGTAACAACAAAAACGTATTTGCTTACTAGGTCAAAAATTTTGCTTGTGTGGTGGTGGGATTTCCCTCCCACCCCACCCTCATATCTTTCCTAGTCCCCACACTCCTTGACCTAGGAGGTCAGAATGAGCCTCTTGTTTTTGCAAATGCATATACAATAGAAGAACCCAAACCAGCCCTGGCAGCTAGTGATTACATTTATATTTCTTAGAAATACTTTCCAATATTCCATCTCCCACAGAACCTAGATAGATTGCATGTATTTGAGTTAAAAAGATATAATTTCATGCACATGTGTTAAGATAGGGTAGGGTGATTCAGTGAAATTTGTAAGACTTGAAATTTGACTCCATTTAATTTTTCTAATTCTACCTAATTCTCTTCCTAGTTCTCCCCTAGCTGTTCTAACTGCCCTCCATTCTCCCAGACGTACACTAAAATAATCACACCCTTTTGTCCTTTTAGTCAGTTTTTCACATTCAGATCTGTGATTTTAATAATATATCAAGAAACTGGAATTTTATCGAAAATTAGAAGTACAAAATATCTTAACATAAAAGGATATTGTGTATGTTTTTTAAATTTTAACTATGGTATGATTTTAACATAAAATTTATTACTAGGGAAAAAAGGAAATAGAGTTTGGGGGGGGAAGATTAGATTTCACAGATTCCCACCAAATAGCTATTGATAACATCATTAAAATTAAACATGGATTGATTGCTCAATAGGCTAGAGAGAGTCATTTAAAAGAAAATACTTTTAAAACAAATATTTATCTAAATTACAGCTCTGATAAATGGGTAACAATTATGTAAGCACATGGCAGAATTTGACATATGTCAAGTCTGTTAAATAAATCAACCTGTTCAATGAATAAATCTTCAATGCATCAGTGCTTTTTAACACACACACACACACACACACACACACACACACACCTATAACACCCTGTTGCCCAAGTCAAACAACTGAAAAACACTGCTGCTTTCTGTTTTACTCAGAGTCTCTCTTTCCTCTTTTTCTTTTTTACACAATCTTCTGACTACCTGTAAGCTACTCAGAGAGCAAAGAGAATTAAAGGTGTGGTGGTGTCACCTGTATTTAGAAGTGAGGGGAAGAAAGATGAGAAAAGCAGTTAAGTGCTGGATTTAAAACACTCAAAGATGTACCCATGAATCCCTGACACAATCACTGTGGAGGTCCTGGTCTCACTGAAGTATTTGCTTAGGGGAGGGACTGGCTTAACCAAAGGAGCATTTGATTGCAGTTTCTCTGTTCCTAAGTCCAGTTCTAGCGAATTTTTTCATCTGTAAATCCCTTAGTAAGGGGGAGAAGAGAAGACTGCAGTTGGCCTTTGACTCTGTTATATTATATTTAAACTTATTTATCTGGTAGCACAAACATGATTTAAGTGTTTCTGGTCACAGTAAACAAAAGAAGAGAAAGATCAAAGTGGGTGGTGGGTGATAGGGAAGGGGAATGACTCACTGGGAGTAGGTCATTTTGGCTTCCTTGTTTTTCCCATCATAGAGATTTCAGATTTTGATATTTTAATTTTTCTTTTATATTTTCCTTTTACTTCATCTGAAAAATTGCCTACCAGCTCCCTAATTGATAGTTTCTCAGCCAGAGCACCTTTTAAAATCCAAGGTCATAGGGTTTGGCACAAAGAACCTGTTGGGTTTTCCAGAACTGATTGAAAACAAAACAAAGAGCGTTGGATAAGACTGGTTCACTTTGGGGCTACCTTTAACTCCACGCTTTTTCTGTTGTCAAGAAAATTTCTTGTTAGGCAGAGATGAACATTCCAATGTTCTCAAGTAATACTGGCCTTTTGCAGCAGTATGCACATCACAACCTGGGGAAATATGGTCTGGGTGTGGTCAGCATGAGTGTGGAGGGTTGGGGAAACTGCTTTTAGTGATGCTACAACCTTTTCTATGCTGGCCCAGGTAGGGGTGAGGACCTTCTTTGTCTCTCTTCCCTCCTATCTGTCATTACCCACATGATTCATAGGCTTCTGCTAAGGAATGTGGTCTTTGGGGCTCCTTTCTTTAGATAAGTGCTATAATCTGGTGTTTTTCCCTACCATGTTTGCTAGTAGAAAAGAAACTGATATCTTAAAACCAACTACTATGCACACAATTATTATTTTTTCCAAAGAGAACTCGAATAGGTCATCTTATCCATCCCCAGTGAGATGATTTTGAGATAAACAATTACCTACTGTTTTCTCAAGCGCCCCCAGACCCCATTTAATAATTCTAGCTTCTCTCCCTCAGTAGCCCTTTTCAAGTGTTGTGCAATTATCCTAGCCAAAAACCTGTTCCTGATCTTTTCCCTGAGAAGATTTGGAGGCTTGAGACCAAAGTTATACCTTGAGACTGAATGCTAGAGTGGTGCTGAAAAATCCTCCATCAAGAACAAGCATAGAAATTCATCTCATCTTGGGGAAGTTAAAGCATTTCCTCTATGGGGGAACTATAAGTAAGATGACTAAATGTTATAGTTTATACCTGTTGTTCTGGCATACTTATGTCACTCTCAAAATGTCCCATTTTTGGGCAAAAAAAAAAAAAAAAAACTGTGATTGTCTTAACTCTAAGCCACCTTTGAAAGAAACTGTTTCCTGATTTGGGCAGATGGTTATATTTGCAAAACTTGGTGGGAAAATGAGCTTTGGAGATCGATAGTACATTAACCTGATTCAGCCTATCCTTCTCCTAACTAATAGGTCGTTCTGGAGGAGAAAAATCTCAGAAATGATTCAGGTTTTATGCTCTACAGAATTGGATTGTTGAATCCAAAGACATCCCTCTAAAATACATGTGTGTTTGCACATACATATGCATAAAAGAGTCCTATCTGCACTCTAGCTGTTCTTACTGTTATGAAAGACTGGTAAGAGGGAGTAAGCTTAAAGTTATCAGGAAAAACTTAAGTTTAGAAAGAACGTCCTGAGCACCATAGTTGTGAGAAAAAACTAAGTTCAATATAGTATTAAGGGAAATGTGAATTCTTTTCAAAATATGTTTGGAAAGTACATGGAGAGCTCTCTGTTTGCATAGGGTCTTGCCTTCACTATGTATATAGAAAAAAATATATATAGATATAGATATGGTTTCCATTTGTCTTTTCTGTAATAAACAGGATGCTCTTTTAAACTGTCTCTGTATCCTAAGTATCTGTGATTGACTTTCATTGATCTAGGGCAGGAGTAAATGAAACTACCACCCTAGGCCAAATTTGGCCTTCAATAGAAAAAGACATAATGCAGGTAAGAAAACATGAAGTCACTCAGAGCTGATTTTGCAAATGTTTTCAAGTTTCTCTTTCTCTG